AACCCCACTTTGAGTGCCCATTTTTCTGGATGTATCACCTCTCACTTGGGAGAGGAAGAGAGGATTGAACAGGGGACAGGAATGCGCAAGCACGACCCAATGGCCTAGACATCTGAAAAGTCGTCGCTATCATCACCATCCATCGGATGACCCTCAAGTCCAGGGGACATTGCAGCGACGGCTGGAGGAGCGACAATGGGCCCCAGAGAGGGGGAGCCCGCTCCCCCGGGCGCCACCGGGGCGGTTGCCGCCACCGGTGACGATAATGACAGGATCAATCGCGGGGCCGGACTGGACACCGGCGAGGGGTCCGAAGCCGAGGCAGGCGGTGCGGAAGGGCCAGGCTGAGGGCCGGCACCGGACCGGCCGGCTGTCGATGCCAGGGACATCGGGCTGCCGGGCGTGGCACTGGCTGGCCGCCGCTCCTCACCCATGGCAGGCAGGGATGACGAGGGGGGCGGCGGCAGGGGTGGCGGCGATGACACTGGGAGGGCGTCAGCGCTTGGTGCCTTGGGCAATGTGAAGGAGAGGGAGAGCTTGCGTGGGGTCTGGCTCGGGGGCGTCTCACTGCCAAACGACTCCAGGGCCGGCGCCGCACGCTGGATTCCCTCCTCGGTCTTGACGGTCACCGCCAGGCCAGGCAGGAGCGGCGAAAGCGGGGCCCCCCCCGATGGGTCCACGTCCATGCCACCGGTCGGACCCACGGGCGAGGACACTGACCGAAGCAGGGGCCCGGGCTCCGATAGAGCGGGGAGCGTTGGCAAAGTAGACAACTCCGGTGAATGGGGCGCTGTGCCGGGCGGATCCCCAACACTGGCCGATCGCGAAAGGGACAATGTCAAGGCACCCTTCAGTGGCGATGAGGGGATGGATAGAATCACACGCGGGAGCATGGGAGATGTGGCGCCCGACGTGCCGGTTGAAGGCTCCACCTTGGGCGTAAGAAGTGGCAAAGGGCCGGACATGGCGGCGGCGGTGGTGGCGGCGGCGGCGGCCGGTGGCAAATGGGGTGAGGACAGGGGCGGACGATCGTCCGGTACCCCGGCAAAGCTGGCGGAAGCGCCCTGCCCTTCGGCCGGCGGTAGGGGAGTACACGCGCCAGAGGGCAGGCGCGATTTGGAGGCCGAGCGGAGGAGCCCACTGAAGGAGAGGGACAACGGCCGGGGGGGGTCGTTCACGGGGGGCCCGTCACCCGGAACCACATTCGGAGCTGGTTGCTGCTCGATTGACACCGGATCTGACACCGGGGACAGAGTATGGAAAAGCGAGGGAAGGTCCACCAATGTGGCGGGTTCGGGCGTGTCGGACACCGATTGTCCGGCCGTGGGGTCGGTCATGCGCAGGAGGCGCTCCAGCGAGCGGCAACTGGCACGGCGCTGCGCTGCCCCGGCGGCTTGCAATGCTGGCGCATCAACAACAACCTTGGCCTCGACCTGAGGGAGAAGGCGGACAAGGGAAAGAGAGAAAGAGAGAGAGAGAGAGAGAGAGCGCGAGCGAGCGAGGGAGGAGGACGGAGGGGGCATGAGCACATGCTTAGTATGAACATCGTGCGAGTGGGGGCAATCAAGAGTGTGGGCGCACCCGTGTGGAGTGGAAGGTGTGCGCCGCGGGCAACGGCGGAAGCCACGTTTCCAGGGCAATCGGGCTACTGAGCAGCGACAGGGCAACGCCCTGCATCGGGTCGCCAGCGGCTGCGCGGTCGAGGGCGGCCAGGGCATCAGTCACCGCTGCACTGCGTCGGGTAATGGTGGGTAGCGCTCCGCCGGACTGCACTAGCGAGAGGGCAAGGCTGCCTGGGGCCGGCCCCGGAGGGGCGGGAGCGCCTCCTGGCGAGTCGGCCACCGGTGCCGCCGATAGAACCTTTCGAAGGCTCTCGACCTGTTGGGAGATCTGAAAGTCGCGCGGCACCGGGCTCGGGCAATCTACAAGGAGGGGAGAGGAGAAAGAAGGGAGGGGGGGGGGGGATATTGACATAAACCGACATATAAGGACGGGGGGTGAGTAGCTGACATGGGGCGTGTGAAAATTTGAAGGGACCAGTGTGGAGGCAGGAGTGGACGAACAGATGCCGAAGGCCGGGGCCGAGGCGAAGGCGCTAGCAAATGGGGCCGATGCCGACAAGGGGGCCGATCCCGCTGGAGGGGTCTTGCCAGCGGCGGAGAAGCGCCAGTGGGCTTGGGTCTGACGCCAGCGGCGTGATCCGCGCTCGACCGACCGCAGGGCCAGCTCGTTGTGCCAGCTGAAGTGTGACAGACTCCGGAGCTGGTACGCCAAGGGGGCAGCGCCAGGGCCCCCGACACCCCGGCTGGCCAGGTTGGTGCCGGCCGCCTCGCGTCGGGTGTACCGTGGGGCCCGGGTATCGGCACCAGCGGCACGGGCCTTGCCGGCAGCCGGAGGGCGCCGCAAGATGCGTCCGAGCCCGGGACCGGTGCGAAACTCCCGCGCCGGAGACAGCTCTCCGATGGCGGCGAACGCGTCCGTCAGGGTAGGCCGCGATCGGGCAGCTAGACTGGCATACGCCACAGTCCGGCTGCATAGGGCCATCAGATCTACGTGTAACAAACAGATATACGTATATATATATATATGTAGGGGGGAGGGAGGTGGGGGAGAGAAAGTGAGGAGGAGGCAAAAAGAAAAAAGGATAAGATCAGTCGTGAGGCATGCAGCCCACAAGGAAGGTGAGGGAGGAAAGGGCAAGCAGGGCGCACAGTTGTCTAGGTGTGTGGCCAACTGGCCGATGGCGGCTGGCTGTGCGACTTCGAAGCCGGCCGCCGCCACCAGGTGCGACACCGCGTGCAGGGCGGCATCCATCCGCGCAGGGCAGGCGCTGAGGGCCTCGGGAAAGCTCGAGCACCGGGTGCCCGGCGGCAGGCGCACGGCTGGCACGGACGGTGGAACGGCAGCTCGCGGAGGGTATGTGCCGAAGGCGGCGGCCAGCTCGGCGGGCAGGATGGGGGACTCCTCCTCTAACGGAATGGGCGGCGGTGTCGGTGGTGGGGGCGTCAAGGAGCGGGAGGGTGCTGCTTGCGGTGCATCCCCGTCGGCCAGCAGTTCCGACAGCCGCAGGATTGGTCGTGACATCACAAGCTAGGGAGGGAGGATGTGCGTGCGCGCGCGTATGTGCGTGGTTGCTGGGAGTCGGTCGGGGAGGGGGGATAGAGAGGGGGGAGAGGGGGAGGGGGGGAGAGGAGAGCTGGGGAAGGCGGACAGGAAGGGAGAAGGGGCTGGCTTGAGGTGGGCCGGGGCGAGGGAGGGAGTTGACGGTTGCCGAGAAATGGACCGAAGGTCCTCGCACCCTGGAGGGGACTAGGCAAGTTGGCAGCTGGCGTGCCTGCCGGTGCGCGCGCAAACGAGATGCCCGCAAAGTCCCAAAGGGTGGCAGCTCGGGGCGAGACAGCTGCCGCCGAAGATATTTGGGCCGAGAGGGCGGGATCAAGTACCAGCGAAGGTGTCGGAAAGAGTGAACCCCGATGCATTTAGGAAGTAGCCTGGTGAAAATTCGCACCCTCCTGCCAGGGAGCACCCTCGACTCGGGAGCCGGCGTTGTTTTTCGTAAATGGCAGCTTTTTTAATAGACAAAACATCCTCCGAGTGTTCCGCCTCTGACCCTACGACGAGAGGCAAGGCGGTGTGATGTGGGGGGGGGGGAGGCTTCAAGCCATCGGTCTGTCGCTCTGGACCGGACGGGGCGCGGGCAGGTACCCGCGCCACCCTGAGGGTCAGGGGCGGCCGGGGTCGCGACCTCCCGACGAAGCAGCCTTGTGGCTCCACGCGTTCTCCGGCTCCGGGGGGCGAGAGGCGGCGCTTGCTTGCGGATGTTCCCCTGGTCTCTCGTCGGTGTTCGGGACTTGGCGCAATGTGGGGGGTAGACTGCTGGTCGGGGGTCATATGCACACACAGGCACACATGCGCGCAGCGGCTCGCCTCAGCGTGTCAGCTGCGGGACGTCTTCTCACGGGCGGGGGGCCTCCTTTTCAGGTACCCCTGCTTGCGGGGCAGGGGCCTCAGCTCTGCAATCTCGTTGCCCTGTGGAGAAAGACACACGGGTGTGTGCGGCCCCGAGCGAGAGGCCAGCCTCAGAGGCGGCTGTGTCCCGCTCCGAGGGTTGAGCTCTCGCCCCTCTGCGCCCAACGGCCAGACACGAGGGGCAGGCCGAGCGTATGCG